GAGTCCCAAGTATAAACACGGGTGGGACAGTGATATATCTTTTGTTTCAGATCTGGCAGCACCTTACACACAGGCAACTGCATATGCGCATTAGGGAGAGTGAGCCCAGGGAAGCTTTGTTAGGATAGGTTGAATATACTTCCTCCCTTTCTAGTCAAACCATTTCTTCTACATTTCTATATCCTTGGCTAATTAAATGGAAATTTATAGTGGGAGTGTTTGTTGGGTCTCTCCCTATCCATCCACAATCAACCTGAAATACTGCAGATTCATTATAATTAATGAATTCATATAAATGTGTTTCCAATTTCTCGAAGGTTTTTTTGTCATTATGTGTTTTTTTCAAAAACTGATACTTGAAGTATAATATGCTATACAGTATTCCCCTGTGACTAAGAACCATTCTAGGGTTTACAGTTTAGGAGCTTTGATCATCCATTGTTCCACATGAAGGTGAGGTGAGAATTATTTTTACATACCAAGGGAAGATTTTTTTTTTAGGTTAGTTTCGACAGGCATTTTCACCCTAGTACCACCAAAGGTTAGTTATAGAGGAACAGATTAACCAGATGTGCCATCTCGCTCTGAGCCCTTCACCAGATCCTGCACAACGTGGGTCCCTGTCCTGAGCCACACATAATGATGGCGCACCAAAGGTTAGTTATAGAGGAACAGATTAACCAAATGTGCCATCTCGCTCTGAGCCCTTCACCAGATCCTGCACAACGTGGGTCCCTGTCCTGAGCCACACATAGTGATGGCGCAGAAGGAGTTCTACTGAAGCTTGTCTGGGGAGCTGGCCTGGAGACCCAGGCTGAGGAAAAAAAAAGTAAGTGCCAAACAAAGTCTCAAGTTCTAGGACAAGGATGAGTGCCCAAGTAAGACAGGGAGGATTGCTAGAAGGGTAGAACAACAAAAATAAGAGGACCTTCCAGAGTAGGTGGTGCTAATAAAGAAGCCAACATAACCACTGCCTTCCATTATCCACATCAATAACACTGTCTTGAAATAAAGGGCACATTTGAAATATCTGACACAACTTTGACATAAAGATGCTCAACAAATACTAGTTCTTTTTCTTTTCCACTAATCCCATTCATTAGCATTAGAAAATTATTGTAACAAATTTATACCAAGCAGCTTCTATGGATGGCCAAGTGCTAGTCAAAGAGAGAAAATATTAATTAATCCTAGCTTAAAAATCTAACTAAAATAATGACCTAGCTTAAAAAATTTAGTTAAAATAATATTGAATAAAATAATACACAAAAGAGTAGAAAAAAATTTGTCCACTGAGGTGTTTTCTCTATAAAAGTTCTTCTTTCTTTGAATAGGTGACTGTTTCTATGTTAGTAGCCAAAACTTAGAAAATTATGAAAGAAATTCTCAAATGTCACATTTTTCAAGAGGGGAAGGCACTGAGATAAAAATGATGTACCTCATATAAGATACTTTGTTAAAAAGGGCTTTGTTCATTGCAATGAATGAATGCATAAAGTGCAAGTGATTTCAGTGTTCCAACACTGAGTATATTGAATATTCTAATCAAATATGAAGGTTTGTTGATATAATTTGCCCCCCCAAAAAAGATCTGTGCGTGCATCTTCTCACCTCCATTGTCCTCCATTATTCAGGTGTCTCTTCCATTGGACACCCCCTAGTTTACTCAGGTGTGAAGACACAGACCTTGTGGTAGCTTGCAGGAGGTATATAATTTATGAGTAGCTCATTATTTGCTCCCAATTTCAAAATCATTTTACTATATATTGTGTTCTTTAGTTTTTCCCTTTCCTACAAACATCTGTGCAACATCCACATAAGTGGTTAGGAATACATCCAATGGAACCTTCCAAAATAGAGCCAGGAAAGAGGTCACACTGAATCATGGCAAAGGGTGGGTGGTGAAGTACCACAACAGTATAACATAAACACACGTGCACACATACACATGCACACACAAATGAAATCTTACATTTGAAAGATAGCAGGTGCCAGTCAAAAAGTATGCTTGACAAAAACACTGAAAAATACATATAAAAATTTAGATTAAAATAACAGGGATTAGCTGTGCACTTTCTGTAACATATTAGTATCTTTAAGACTTTGGAAGCTACTCATTTTTTCAAATATTACTTTTTTTTTTTTTTTAAAGATCTATTTATTTCTTTGAGAGAGAGAGAGTGACAGAGACAGAGCATGTGGCCAGGAGAGAAAGAGAGAAAGAATCCCAAGAAGACTCATGTGAAGCCCATCTTGGGGCTCAATCTCACAACCTGAGCTGAAACCAAGAGTCAGATGTTTAACCAACTGTGTCATCCAAGCACCCCTTAAATACCACCTTTTCAATTAAAAGGATGCTTACTGTCTAATGGAAGAATGCATTATAATAAATCAGATGAGATTTTTAGACTATTATCCAGAATGAGTTTATGCTCAAAGCCCAGTAACATTGAAAATCTAGTATATTTAGAATATTTTTGGCATTAAAGGAAGAGTAGAAGTTGCCTTAAATCAGTCCTTTGGGTGCAAAAAAACACAAATAATTGGGAGAAATAAAAGAATAAAGGAAACAAAAACCCTAAAGTAAGTAAAAATGTAGATCCTACTGAAGCAACTTCATTTCACCTAAATTATACAGGCATCCTCTATTCTGTAAAATGACTGGTAAGGCTGCCATGTTTGCCTGAATTTTATTTTACAGTTTTATACTTTTTTTACAGTTTTACATGTTATAGTTTTCACTGCTATGATTCAGCATACCACTACCCCCAAATAATCAGGTATGATGAAAATATAGCCAAACTATAGTTCCAGCTTTTGAAAGCATAACCCCTGGCATATTCAGTTTACACAAAAAGAAATACTGGAATTAATTTGAACTTTTTTATGCTTGAAAAGTAAAGCATATTCAATGCAATAGGGGCAATTCACGATGCTCTTAACCAACATTACCAGAGTTTGAATTCCTTCTGGTTAGTTGTCAAACATTTTGGGGAAGAAGCCACACTTGAAGTCCAACTGAAGAATAATGGATAAGTAACAGCTATCAGGAATATATTTTGTAAATTCAGTATTCACAGTGCTTCCTGCTAGAGAACTTTGCAAAGGCAATTTATGAACACTAAAATTTTACCTTCATAAGCAAAATTACCATTTAATATGAATTATATGATGTTTCCCCATGTTTGACAAAGTGTACCGAACTTAAAGTAGACCCATAGAGGAGAGTGAGTAGATGTTCTTTTTGATCATCATTTATGAAACAATTAGTAACATAAACTTGACTGAACCACACATCATAGTTAGGAGGAATGACATCCTGATTAGACACATGGATCTCTTTAATAACAACTTTAATATAATCATCAGTAACCACAGAGCTTTGGAATATTAAAATAAGAATGTGTGATCCCAAGCAAAGCTTCAAATGAACACCTCTAGCTCCACTCAACATTTGTTGAGTTTGGAATTCAACAAATAATAGAGAATGGGCTGGAAAAGCATTTACATTCCAGCACCTGTTGCTCATTAACTGAATCCACTTGGGCAAGGAACTGAACCTTTTAGTACTTAGGTCTCTTATCCGAGAAGCAGGGATAATACTATTCATGTGGCCCAGTTCACAGAGAATTATAGCACCAAAGCCAGCAACAGCAGCGGTAGTAAAAAAGAATATTAATACAACATTAATTTTCTGAGGGCTTATTCTGTGGACTGAAAACAAGACAGTGAGATAGGCATGCCTTTGTTTGTAGACAAGGAAGTTGAGGTTCCGAGATTAGAACTTGCATAAGGTTGCACATGTGTTGCTGGCAAAGTCCAAGAGCGAACACAAACTACTCTGACTCAGGAGGTCATGATCTGGTTCACATCTCAAAATGCGTTCCCATGTGTCATCTAATGAGGTAATGCTATTGACCACACATTGTAAATGGCAAAGCACCACAGTAATGCAATGTGTTATTACTGTAATTTTTTAAAAAGTTGTTAAAATGTATTTTCTGCTGAATATATAATACTATTCTTAGCAAAAGCCCATTAATTCAAGAAATTAAGGAAAAAGCATGAATGGATATGCAACTTGTCACCTAAAACATGGAAAGTAAAATAGATTTGACAGTTGGTGATGTCATCTCATACATTTGTGCATTTACACACAATTGTCCCAACCCAGAAACATCAAGTATCTCCCAAAACACCAATGGAAATTGCTGGAATCATTAAAAAGTCAAGAGATTTGTTGTGTATGGTCATGGCTTCCCAAGCCCAGACTGACAACCTGGCCGGCTGCTCACAGGAGGTTATTAGACACATAGGACAAGTATGTTAGGCTGCAAATAGTCTGTGGCCAAGCCTCCCAGGGATATCAAAGGGCAGAAAGTTAGCAAAGCTGCCTCTTGTTGGCAGCCAAAAACAGTTACAGTGAACTGGAAAAGTAACAAAGGCATATCAACCATCTCCACACTGTCCTAATTTTTCTAAGCATTTAAAACAAATGAAAGATTCTGTTTGCCAACAACAGGTAAACTAATTTATAGTTAAATTTACATGTTATTTACTTGCAAACACTCTGCCCAGAAAAAAGTTTGGTTCTGAGTGAAACAGAAGAGGCAGAAAAAAGTGTCCTCTATACTTCTCTTCTACATTTCTGCTTTTCTGCAATTGTCCTCACTTAGCTTATCCCACCTCAGGCAGCAAGGCCCCAGATATTTGTGACCACTTGCCCCCTTCCCTTTACTGTGGTACTGCTCTTTGTTTCTTCTAGAAGAGATAAAATAAAACCCAAAGGCCAGAATGTACAGGTATGAGGATCAGGACACTGATGGGTCCTAGGCAAATACTAGTAAATAATAACGTACAATCCCTGCCCCCGAGGAACTCATAGCCAGGACACATCAACAATGAGTAACACTACTGAGGAGAGCATGCTAGCCCTGGGAAGTGTACAGGAGGGAACTCATATTCAGTCTTGGCATCAGGGAAGGAAGGGAGGGCCTTACCACATTTGGGTTGACCTTATGTCGGAAGCATGTGATGTTCACCACGTATGGCCAATCATCAGGCTCCATTAGCACCCCAGCAGCATGAGCACATGTAACATGGAAGGAGGCTGGGCAGCGTCCATAGGAACACTGGATACAGGCCCCAGAGACCTTTTTAACCCGGTGTCTGCAGAAGATGCATTTCTGGAGGGTTAAAACAAAGAACATCAATTCAAACTGTAACTCAGACAATTTCCACACTTCATAGAATAATAGCTATTAGAGAGGCAGAAAACTGATTACGTCAACAAGTCTTGACCCTTCTGGGGCCCTAGTGGTGAGAGCAACTGTGACAATATAAGTTGTATATTTTTAATGAAACACACTGATATGGTCACGTACTACCAAACATATGTTGAAATACTTCCTATGGTTAGGAAAGCCCTTCTGTATATGCTTCTCTGGGCACAGTGAGGAAAGACCCCAAGGATACTGCTGTAAATCACCTGCAAATGCTCAAGTTGCTTTTTCCTGCATGGCAGGACTCTTGGTACATCAAGAGATAGAATATGGGTTTGGAAGAGAGGTACCTACTCTCCTAAATTAGATGAGGTCTTCAGAAATAACCACAGCACAGAGGTGGTCTTAGTTTTCTATTTACAAGGAACTGCAAAGTGTTAATGGTCCAATGTGGAAACTAGGGGCTCAAGTGTTTAATAATACAAATCTGAACCCTTCATGACTGACATAAAAATATGCTTCCCAAAGTGAGAAAATTGAAAATCACCCCAAAGGGCATAATTTTGTTGAGTAGCTATAGCTGACTATGCCTGGTGAAGAGAGAATGAAAATAAAAACAGCAATAATGATTACCACAATCTAAAAATTAAATTGCATACAATTAGCCCTAGACATTATCAGTGTATTTGTTATGAAAGACAGGAAAAATCGAACAGCTTCACTAAATGTATAATTAGTGAACACTTGATAGTTAGAAAAAATGGTTGTAGAACAACATAGGGTAGGTTCGGAAAGCAGAAGAAACAGAATGATAAAAAGCTTGACTTTTCATTCCTAAGGATGAAAAACGTCTGCAATCTGATCAAATATTGGTGCAGCTGCTCTTCTTTTATAGGTACATTTTCCTTCCCGGGACAGAAAAGTACTTAAACTCAATGCCTTTTGGGGATCATAATATTTTATCACGGACCTGTAAGAATCAATGTGAACTTAACTTCTAACTCTTCTTCACCCTCATATCAGATCAGCAACTTTAGTCTTATAGATTCTGCACCTTAATCTTGCCCTGATCTCTCCCTGCCCATACCACCTGCCACTGCCTCTGCCCATGGTACCCAGCATAGTAATATCCTCCTAACTGGTCTTTATTTTATTCCATTTCCATTCATCTTCCCCAGGCCTGCCAGTATGATCTCTTTACAACATAAATCCAATGTCACCCCTGTTTAAATGTCCTTCATTGGCTTTTCCTTATCTCCAAAACATTCTAGAAAAAAAGGGACAACATGAGACAGACGTGGAAAGCTTATAATAGGCTTTATAGTCCATCTGAGCAGTCTTATTTCTCACTAGTCTACATAAGGGTGCCACACTCTAGGCATTTATCTGTTCTCCCTATACATCTAGATTCAACGTACAATTATTTTTAAGTGGGACTTAAGGATGTGGCTTAGTTGATTAAGAAACTACATATACACACAACCACAGAACTGAAATAAGACCCATTATTATTGGAATAAAAGCATTACTTAATATCTTGGTGTCTTGGCAATTTTTTAAAAGACTTTATTTATTTGAGAGAGAGAGAGGGAGTGCACAAGCAGGGGGAGGGGCAGAGAGAGAAGCAGACTCCCTGATGAGTAAGGATGCCCAGAGGAGGCAGAGGAGGGGAAGGGGGAGTTCAATCCCTGGACCCGGGGATCATGACCTGAGCTAAAGGCAGCTGCTTAACTGACTGAGCACTCTTTGACAATTCTCATTATCAGTTTCAATACATTCTTGGTAATTCTTGGCATTCTAATATTTTTTGCCAGTTCCAATTTTTTGAAATGTGATGGCAGGTATAATAGTGAAAACTCGTATCAGGGGCCTCAGGCATAATCAAACAATCTTTAAAGAGCCTAATCATACTACATGGAGGTCAGCATTTAACTACGTTAAGATATTGATAAATATGAGAGAAAAAAATGGTTTCCCATTTTCTTAACTAAATAGGATTTTTTTAAGAGTAGGTAAGAATGAAATTTGCTGTGGGTTTTTCATAGATAGATTTTATGAAGTTGAGGAATGTTCCCTCTATCCCTATACTTTGAAGAGTTTTAATCAGGAATGGATGCTGTATTTTGTCAAATGCTTTTTCTGCATCAACTGAGAAGACCATGTCGTTCTTCTCTCTTCTCTTATTGACTTGAAAAAAAAAAAAAAAAGACAAATCTTTCCAATTGGTATGGATATCAATATTATTTATAAGGAAAAATGTCTTGAAAACAATTGTCAATTAGGACAATTTGGGTAGAGTGTGTACTGTCCAGTTCTCCATACATGGCATGAGACCTATTTTTTCTTTCAATGACTGCCTGGTATCTTATTGTATGTGTTTATATCTAAATGGTGCATCAGCCTTTCTTTTTTTCTCCCAACATTTCTTTTGTCTTAAACTAATCCTCTGTTAATATGTTTAGAGTCTTTCCAGGATTTTTTTTTTTTCTGTTTGGAGCTATTTCAAGCAATGTTAATTGTGTACATCTTTCTGTAGACCTCTTAGTTTACTTGTACAAGTCTACCCAGAATAAAGTTTTAAGTAAAATTTTTTTAAAAAGTAGGAAAGAGTATTATGACTTAAGCTAGTTAATGAATTGGTAACTCTAGCCTCTTCCACCATTAACTGCCTCATTAAACAGAGGCCCTCCAAAAAAGGCAATAGAAACAGAGATAATACACTTAAACCCAGTGAGGATTCAATCCTTGGAATCCAGTAAGGGAAGGGCTCTCCTTTCCCAGAAGAAGAGAAGTGGTCTCTTCTAAGGATACAACCAGTATCCTTACAAATTCAACCTAACTGCAGACTACTATAATTTGATGTGTTGGAAGATATTTATTCATAGAACTGGGAAGTATGACTTAAACATCAACCAGGTTTTTGAGGAGATGGAGAAATATATAAAACCGAGTAGAGGAGCCATTCTGTATCTTTATAGTACAGTCTGCATTGTATTTCCAAACCCCATTTTCACTGGCTTGCTACTAAACCAGTTGTTCTGTACCTGGGATGAAACATCTCTGGCAATCTGACACCTACCCATGTCTGGGCTACAGAACTTAATTTAGCAGGGCAAAGACAAGGACAAATAGATAGTTCTTGAGGATGTTACAATGGAATAATCACTATAAAAGGCCAGCGAGAAAGTGCTTTATGGAACCTGAATGACTAGTGGAATGAGTTATGCTTGGAGGCAAGACAGGGAAGAAAGCCTTCAGTAAACACACGGCTGACTGGATCAAGATGGTGGACTTAGCCTGTGCTACAACTTTCTCAGCTCTAACCCCTAAGTAAAGATAAAGGAAAATTAAAAAAGACAAGCTACCCACTGTTGGACAAGTCCATGGCCTATCCTGTCCCAATCATCATCAGCAGGTGAGGTAATCCTATCTGATCTGAATCGGAGTCCTATGATCTGACTCATCACTCACCAATAAGCCAAGCAGATTCTCATTTGGGCTGAGGAAAGAAAAAGTGCACCCTGGATGCACAACTAAAGTACAATCAGATACTTTAAAAATCACAAACATTGGGGGCACCTGGGTGGCTCAGTGGGTTAAAGCCTCTGCCTTCGGCTCAGACCATGATCTCAGGGTCCTGGGATCAAGCCCCACATCTGGCTCTCTGCTTGCCAGGGAGCCTGCTTCCCCCTCTCTCTCTGCCTGCCTCTTGGCCTACTTGTGATCTCTGTCTGTCAAATAAATAAATAAAATCTTAAAAAAAAAATCACAAACATTGGAGGGAAAACAAAAATAACTGAGAGATGCTATGATTCGCAGTAGAAGAATATCTGACCTAAGGAGTCAGGTAGGTAGAAGCACAAGATGAGTTAAAAAGAGGTACAGTATATGATATGATAGAGATTCCAAAATATATCCCATCAATTAGGAAAAAAGTAACAATTACATAGCTAAGAAATTCAAAAAGTCAAAAAGAATCAAGATGTGCTGAATATTGGATTTCATCCTATTAAAGATCAAATTAGTAACTGGAAGATGGAACCTACAGATTGTACAGAACACAGAAGAAAAAAAAAAGAAAATAAAACACAAATGCTAAGCAATATGGAAAAGAGATCCAGATGTTCTATTATCTTTCTAAAAGGCATCTTACAGTAATAAAAAAAGAGAAAATAACAGAAATTTTCCAGACCTGAAAAAAAGCCCAACAAGTAGGATTAGTTAAAAAAAAAAAAAAAATCACCTAGCAACATCTTAGACCTCAAAATAAAAAGAGAAAAATCCCAAAATCTTTCAGAGAAGAAAAGAGAAAAATCAGATTACCATCAGATCTCTAATGTGCAACAGTGAATGCTAACAGACAATGAAACAATATCTTCCATTTCTGGAGGAAAATTAAATTTGGTCTATATTCAGCAGAATTATCATTCAAATGTGAGGGCAAACAAAAAGAATTTTTTTTTCTTTTTCATATACAAAGATACGAAGATGAGGAGTATATGTGAAGTGAAGAGCAACCAAAATGCTTAATATGTAGATAAGCCTAAATGAATATCAACTTTATAAATAATAAAGTAATGTCTTTTGGGTTTCAAATATAAAGAATATGAACAAGTAACGACTGAAGCACATAAGGAAGAAGTGGTAAAAGACGTTTAAAATGTTCTAAAGCTGTTGAACTGTCTGGGACAGGGGTAAAAGTATCAATTAACTAAGTGTGGAAAACAAAACAGAATAAGGAAAAATAATAAATTCAAACAAAGACAAGAAAGGAAGGAAACAGAAGAAGAACAAACAAGGAACAAAGGGAAAGAACAGTGTAAGTTGGCAGAACTAAACCCAAATATGCCAGTATATTATATATAAGCAGACCAGGGGTAGCAAACTTTTTCTTAAAGTTCCAGATAGTAAGTATTTTAGGCTTGTATGGTATGGAGTCCCAGTTGCAACCACTCAACTCCGCC